CTAGACTGGTCAGTTTTATACACTACTATCATTGGTACTAGACTGGTCAGTTTTATACACTACTATCACTGGTACTAGACTGGTCAGTTTTATACACTACTTTCACTGGTACTAGACTGTCCTAGACTGGTCAGTTTTATACACTACTATCACTGGTACTAGACTGGTCAGTTTTATACACTACTATCATTGGTCGTAGACTGGTCAGTTTTATACACTACTATCACTGGTACTATACTGTTCAGTTTTATACACTACTATCACTGGTCCTATACTGGTCAGTTTTATACACTACTATCATTGGTCGTAGACTGGTCAGTTTTATACACTACTATCACTGGTACTAGACTGGTCAGTTTCATACACAACTATCACTAGTCCTAGACTGTTCAGTTTTATACACTACTATCACTGGTCCTCGACTGGTCAGTTCTATCCACCACTATCATTGGTACTAGAGTGGTCAGTTTTATACACTACTATCACTGGCACTAGACTGGTCAGTTTTATACACTACTACATGTATCACTGGTCCTCGACTGTTCAGTTTTATACAATATGATCACTGGTCCTCGACAGGTTTTTGTTACTGTATTACACCATATTTACATTTCCACTGCAAGTTCCTCTATAAGCATTACCAAAAGAAATTGCGTCAATGAAATTGGGTTCATAGACCTATCATCAATCAGTGTCATTTTGAAGCTTCTCCTTCTGACTCGATTAACATAAGAGAACTGTTATAGTCAAACATTTTGGTGACGTTAAGCTGTTCCAGGAATCCTGTTTGCACTGACGAAACTGACACTTAAATATCAAAATAAATGGGAATATCTATATTTAGGTCAATAATAACTAAATATTTAGAATGTAAATTTAAGGATTGAACAGCATTTTTTCAATGTTCATGCCATGGCCAGTACCGGTATGAAATTGAAAAAAACGTTATTCAATCCTCATATGTTTACTAGTCGTAGACAACTTGTGTTGATGATACTATGCTGTGGTCATTGAGGGTAGATGGGTCAATGTTACACACTGCAGTCAGTGGTCTAGATGGGTCAATGTTACACACTGCAGTCAGTGGTCTAGATGGGTCAATGTTACACACTGCTGTCAGTGGTCTAGATGGGTGTACATACATTATATCCTTTTACTTTCCCACCAGCTGTTATTTAAGGATTGGTTGTCATATTTTTGACATGCATTGGTGTGTTACATACATTGGCTTACCTATATATTGAATGGTGTGCGCTAGCGACCCATGTTAAATATGTAGGTAAGCCAATGTATGTCACACACCAATGCATGTCAAAAATATGACAACCAATCCTTATATTAACATTTTATGTTAATCAAATTACAGTTTACGCAGAAATAAAGACATAATATTAGTCTGAGCATGTTTCAACGTCGGGGTAAATCCATACAGAGAACAGCCACTAGTTGACAGTGGAGCAGTGCAATCTCCAACGTTACAGTTATGACGTCATAAGTGTAGCGACGTCACAATGGCCCAATGTATGTTATACGGAAATAACAGAGATTGGGCCCGGTAGAAACATCTAGGCTGTGTGTAGTGGAAATGTCAATATTTCAGTTTGGTTGATTTTCAATTCTAAAAAATTAAATGTGAGCAAGAAATAACGTGGCATGTCTGTAAAATCTGATGTAAATTTATTTTATGATGCACTATTTGGCAGGCTTTTCCACAAAAGTATTAAAAATAGACATACTCAAATGGGGGAAATACCACATAGTCTCTGCTAAAAGATTATTTTGAGTAAGGAAGAATCACTATACAGACCTTGGTGCAGTCTCTGACGAAGTAAGCAGTACTTTCTCCATTGCTCACAAGGTTTTGATAGATATTACCCTTATAATTATATAAATGATTGATCCTATAATATATGTCATATCAATTATTTTCATCAATATACAGCCGTAACATACAGAGACATTTATAACCAGCAAGTGAATTTTTTGGTTATAAATGCCTAGTATAAAAGAAAGTAAATATTACAATTCTGTTTATTTATGATTTTGTTTTGGAGCATTGCATTTTCCATTGGAAAAAATGTGATCATGCTCTGCAATTGAGATAAACACATTGACTTAATTTTTGAATGTTATACATTTCAGGGAAGTAAAAGACGTGGAAGATATTACAATATTAGAAAACATGACAGAACATTTCCCCATCATCATGATCCTCATAAAAGAATGTAAAGGTACATTTTTATCTTCAATAAGATTTATAAGTTTGGAAACTATATTTAATATAAAAATGTATACCGTAATATCAAAGTTTTACTTTGTACACAAACAATGTACATATCAAATGTGTGACAATGTTTCAAGACCGATTGGTCCCTTTGTCAAGCTATGACTGCATGCATGAGTGATTTGTATTGTTAACCTGTACAATGTTGTGAAGATTGAATTGTGTTTTTCATATGACACTCAACTCTGGATGTTTCACCTATCCACAGAAAGTGTATGTAATAATTGTATATACCGGGGGTACTTTGTTAGTCCTCAGTCTGAACTACCAGAGGGTCTGTCTGTCAGTTTGTGAGTCACTTTTGTGTAGGACATGATTCATACCCTTCTTGCCTACAATTGCCAAATTTTGTACATGAATGGGAATAGGCTGGCAGAGTGTCGCATAGATACTGAAGTGGGTCTAGATCTTATGCCCTACTAAAGACTGGAGTTATGGCTCTGTGTTCACCATGAATCACACTATCCATATGAAATCTCCTGTATTTGACTGCAGTTGCCGAAATCTGTATATGAGTACGTACCCTTAAGGATAGTGGAGTGTTGCATATTGAATTGTTCAGGTCAAACATGCTTGCTTTATAATGAGTAATGGTCCTTGGTTCATTTTTCGTATCATGGTTTGTCTGGAACTTTTACAATGTATGAATGTGATGAGTATGAAAACAAAACATGATGTATCAGCATTTTATAAAAACATGTGTTAATTATTATTAAATAATAAGTAACAATTGAAGTATGTAATAAGTGATATTTTTTGTCTGTTTTACAGTCAGAGACAGGCTGCTTCCCTAGCACAAAGTTCTTCATTTTCCCAACATGAAGATTAAGATAAGGAATATCTTCCCAATTTCAATAACAATAATGCTTTGTTATTAAAGGTAGTGATACCTAACAAAACCTTAAGGCTGGACGGATTTAGTGATACAAAAGTTACAATGTACACAGAGAAGAACATTTCATAGACAGTCGTTAGATTTTCCGTAGTCGTTTTTAAATTTTAGTTTGAATTGATAAACCTTCTGTTTTAGCTGGAGGTATTGACACAAGAATACGTGGCATAAAGATCTCCTCGTCAGAGGGCCGCTATCTGGGGTTTGATAGAGACTTTTTCAAGGGAGAGAACTTAGTAAGATATCCCAAACTGGAACCCTATCCCCCAGATCAGCTCTACAGACGGTCATTACTTCTACAAAGGTAACGAACAGGCAGGATCTGTAGCAAAGTTATTTATGATGTCATGTAAATGGTATAAAAGTAAGGACGTTTTATTGTGTAAGATTCACACTAAGTTTGAGCAAGCTTGAGACATGTACAATGAAATATTATAAATCTGTGACATCGGACAGTGACATGTGAAGTATTCCCTATGAAATATTATAAATCTGTGACATCGCACAGTGACATGTGAAGTATTCCCTATGAAATATTATAAATCTGGGACATCGGACAGTCACATGTGAAGTATTCCCTATGAAATATCGTAAATCTGTGACATCGGACAGTGACATGTGAAGTATTTCCTATGAAATATTATAAATCTGTGACATCGGATAGTGACATGTGAAGTATTCCCTATGAAATATTATGAATCTGTGACATCGGACAGTGACATGTGAGGTATTCCCTATGAAATATCATAAATCTGTGACATCGAACAGTGACATGTGTAGTATTCCCTATGAAATATTATAAATCTGTGTCATCGAACAGTGACATGTGAAGTATTCCCTATGAAATATTATTCACTGTGACATCGGACAGTGACATGTGAAGTATTCCTTATGAAATATTATAAATCTGTGACATCGGACAGTCACATGTGAAGTATTCCCTATGAAATATCGTAAATCTGTGACATCGGACAGTGACATGTGAAGTATTCCTTATGAAATATTATAAATCTGTGACATCGGACAGTGAAATGTGAAGTATTCCCTATGAAATATTATAAATCTGGGACATCGGACAGTCACATGTGAAGTATTCCCTATGAAATATCGTAAATCTGTGACATCGGACAGTGACATGTGAAGAATTCCCTATGAAATATTATTCACTGTGACATCGGACAGTGACATGTGAAGTATTCCCTAGGAAATATTATAAATCTGTGACATCGGACAGTCACATGTGAAGTATTCCCTATGAAATATCGTAAATCTGTGACATCGGACAGTGACATGTGAAGTATTCCCTATGAAATCTTATAAATCTGTGACATCGGACAGTGACATGTGAAGCATTCCCTATGAAATATCATGAATCTGTGACATCAGACAGTGACATGTGAAGTATTCCCTATGAAATCTTATAAATCTGTGACATCGGACAGTGACATGTGTAGTATTCCCTATGAAATATTATTCACTGTGACATCGGACAGTGACATGTGAAGTATTCCCTATGAAACATTATAAATCTGTGACATCGAACAGTGACATGTGAAGAATTCCCTATGAAATATCATAAATCTGTGACATCGAACAGTGACATGTGAAGAATTCCCTATGAAATATCATAAATCTGTGACATCGAACAGTGACATGTGAAGAATTCCCTATGAAATATCATAAATCTGTGACATCGAACAGTGACATGTGAAGAATTCCCTATGAAATATTATTCACTGTGACATCGGACAGTGACATGTGAAGTATTCCCTATGAAATATTATTCACTGTGACATCGGACAGTGACATGTGAAGTATTCCCTATGAAATATCATGAATTTGTGACATCAGACAGTGCCATGTGAAGTATTCCTTATGAAATATTATAATTCTTTGACATCGGACAGTGATATGTGAAGTATTCCTTATGAAATATTATAAATCTGTGGCATCGGACAGTGACAGGTGAAGTATTCCCTATTAAATATTATAAATCTGTGACCTCGAACAGTGACATGGGAAGAATTCCCTATGAAATAATATAAATCTGTGACATCGTACAGTGACATGTGAAGCATTCCCTATGAAATAGCATAAATCTGTGACATCAGTCAGTGACATGTGAAGGATTCCCTATGAAATATCGTAAATCTGTGACATCGTACAGTGACATGTGAAGCATTCCCTATGAAATATCATGAATCTGTGCCATCGGACAGTGACAGGTGAAGTATTCCCTATTAAATATTATAAATCTGTGGCATCGGACAGTGACATGGGCAGTATTCCCTATGAAATATCATGAATCTGTGCCATCGGACAGTGACAGGTGAAGTATTCCCTATTAAATATTATAAATCTGTGGCATCGGACAGTGACATGGGCAGTATTCCCTATGAAATATAATAAATCTGTGACATCGAACAGTGACATGTGAAGGATTCCCTATGAAATAGCATAAATCTGTGACATCGAACAGTGACATGTGAAATATTCCCTATGAAATATCATGAATTTGTGACATCAGACAGTGCCATGTGAAGTATTCCCCATGAAATATCATAAATCTGTAACATCGGACAGTGACATGGGAAGAATTCCCTATGAAATATCGTGAATCTGTGACATCAGTCAGTGACATGTGAAGCATTCCCTATGAAATATCATAAATCTGTGACATAGGACAGTGACATGTGTAGTATTCCCTATGAAATATCGTGAATCTGTGACATCGGACGGTGACATGTGAAGTATTTCCTATGAAATATTATAATTCTTTGACATCGGACAGTGACCTGTGAAGTATTCCCTAGGAAATATTATTCACTGTGAGATCGGACAGTGACATGGGCAGTATTCCCTATGAAATATAATAAATCTGTGACATTGAACAGTGACATGTGAAATATTCCCTATGAAATCTTATAAATCTGTGACATCGGCCAGTGACATGTGAAGGATTCCCTATGAAATATAATAAATCTGTGACATCGGACAGTGACATGTGAAGTATTCCCTATGAAATAAAATCCATTATTGTGTTTAATGTTACAGGTTGATGGTGATATTAGACAGTGTTTTACCTTATATAGTTCCTGCCTGGGAATACTCTATAGGATCTTACAGCTCGTTAGAGGTCAGTATAGAGAACAAAACACAGGTGTGCTTGTGCCAGTGTAGGAGGGGATGAATTATGAGGTCGTTAGTGTGCCTGCCCTTTAGGGAGAAAGTTAAAGGTGTGGATTTTTATTTTTTATAGTTTTACAGCCCAATAATACAGGCTGCTTCCCCTAGAAAACAAATGCCTTATTTACCAAAATTGAAGAAGAAATGAGGAACATCTTCCCAATTTCAATAAAATGAAATGTTATATTTTCCATATGCATGTAGGAATAGGCTGTTGTATAATTGATGTAGAAAAAAACTACTGACGCCTAGCTGCAATGATAGTGGTGCTTTTGTACTTGAGTAAGATACTGTACCACTGCCTCAATGAGGAAATAGGACCTGTAACTGCGAAAAGTTGGTTCAGTGATTTTCACTCAATCTAGATCATTACATCTTATAACCACTGAAGGTAATTTTATATAACTTAATAAAGAGGACTCTGATAATATTAAGGAAGGACAATACTTCCAAGGTCATATAGTCACAACAAGGGTCAAAGGTCAACACTGAGTTGTTCAACATTTTTTACCGAAACTTACCTTAATTATTAGTTGACATTTGTGAAACATGGCATACATGATTGGTACTTTAGGAAAGTGAGTGCTTGGGATTTATTTTTTAATTTTGATAATTTTGTTAGATACATTTTTAGTAAAATCTATATATATATATACTAGCCAGTATCAGTAACAAAATTTATTAAACTTTTGACATTTCATCAGCACACTGTACCTCAGGTAAGTGTTGCACCTTGATTTGCATTAACTTTATTTTTACTCTTTTTGTGGGATTTAATCCCTTTTTCTGATATATTTACGTGGAAGAGAAGCTTACAGTTAGCCTATAACTTACAATATTCATTCTTTTTGTTTCTATGTGTTGTTTTTCACGGATATAAATTGTTGAGGTAGCAATCTTGTTTTCGTTCGTAGTTGGTGAGACAACTTTTGCCGTTGTCGAAGAAACGCCTTAATCTCATAGAAACGTTCATCAAGGAATCGTCATCTGAGTAAGTATTTGCCTCGTAAATAACTTCATCAAAGTGTTGTTCTCCGAGTCCTAGGAATCATCATCTGAGTGAGTATTTACCTCGTAAATAACTCCATCAAAGTGTTGTTCTTTGAGGCCTCGGAATTGTCATCTGAGTGAGTATTTACCTCCTAAATAACTTATCAAAGTGTTGTTCTCCGAGGCCTAGGAATCCTCATCTGAGTGAGTATTTACCTCCTAAATAACTTATCAAAGTGTTGTTCTCCGAGTCCTAGGAATCGTCATCTGAGTAAGTACTAACCTTGTAAATAACTCCATCAGAGTGTTGTTCTCGGAGTTCTATTATTTAAATGTTACTGTCCCCAAATGCAACAAAATGGGGTCATGGTTGACATCAGTGATGATACACCTTGCCTGCAATAAAAACCAATTTGGTCATTCAGTATGAAAGTTAAACATTTGTTAAATTTGAATATTCTTTTTTGTTACAGACGACCAGCAGAGATACCGAAACTATTTATAAACCGCCGAGCAGCCATGGAGCACCGCTGTAGTCCAACTCAGGATTCAGACTTTAGAAACACAATTTTTCTGCAAATTTATGAGGGCTTGAAACCTCGAGACAGGACGGCAAAACCTTTAAATTACAGGTAAAAGTTTGTGTCAGATGTAATTGTATTTATCATATGAATACCGTGTTATGTGTCATAAAGTCATCACATAAATTATATTTATGTAACGTGTGCAATATCACTCCGGGATTGACGTCACAATCGAATAGGAACAATTAATGTGATGTCACGTCATTGTGAAGCGGACACAATATTCATTGTTTCAGAGGCGGCCAAGTGCAAAATATTCGTTTCAGATCACAATTTCACAGTTTACTTTGTATTATATGATAAAAAGAATCCGTCATTCGTTTCCCTTCACATTAGATTTAAGATACTCGTTTTGGATTTTTGATATTTGCTCGCCAAAGGCTCGTAAACACGAAAAATTCAAAACTTGTATCATAAATCTAATATGACGGGAAACTTATGACCGATCCTCTATATGTATGATACTGTAAAGGAGATTACTGCATGTACAAACTGGCATTCACAGATTCAGTTTTGTATAAAATCAGAAACGTGTAGAAATCGTTATCATATTGTAAACTAACAAAACAACCCATGCCATATGAGTACTGATTTTGAAGGGTCGGTGTTGTGTTTAAGAGTTTGACAAGCTGTATTTTTCTCTACATTTTTCTCCTGTTCCGTTTAGATGGACATCACGATATGAACAATGGTGGGAGTGTAAGTTTATGTCGGAGGGGGTGATCGACCAGGGCGGTGGATTCAGGGACAGTTTGTCTGATCTAGCAGAGGAACTCTGTCCTATGTCAGCCGATAAGCCCCTCCCGTTGCCTTTCTTCATCAGAGCTCCTAATCAGGTAAAATCATGTGTTCTCGTTATCAAAGGTCATAATGTATGAAAGCACTATTAAGGATCCCTGTACCCCTGCCAAAAACTGTAAATAAGTGTTGGAAACTGTCTTTTCGGCATGACCATAGCTTTGCTAAATTATTTCTGAAAAGATAAACATACCATGCGGGACCTTTTTGAGAAAAAACAAAGATGAAATAAACAAATTACAATCAACAACAGTGGCTTGAGTTGAAAAAATCAGCGTAGCTAGACCAGGATTCGAACCCCGGACTTCAGATTGTTATAATATTGCTCTTATCTATTGAGCTATCAACATGTAGCTATCAACGGAATTGTCTTGGCCCAATTGTGCTACAGTTTCTATATATCCAAACAGAAGTTAAAGGGAGGTTGCTCTATATAGGAAAAACCACCGTGGAACAGGGATCCTTAAACTATAAAGAGGAACTTCAGTAACAATAAAATCTATGCAAATATCATATACAATATTTAGTACATGTGTATGTGGAAATATTTTAGAGTAAAGTATATGTATAGATAAATGAAAATATTTATGAATTGCAATATATGTGCAAACTAGGTCAAGGAAAATGACCTCTGTATTAAAAACCAGGTAAGCCACAGTTCACTTAATTTGTTTTTAGCTCACTCAAAGGGCAAGTGATCTTCTACCATGGCATGGCATCATTTATCTCTCATGTTTTGTTTTGTTGTAAGATAACTAAATCAGTATAGTTGAATGGATTTTGATAAAATCTGTATGGAGCATCCCTAGGCCTGGGGGACTCAACATTATATAGGTAAACTGGGTGACATATCCAACCCCTACTCTGGGGACAGGGTGAAGCCTCTAAAGAACCCAAGGGAGTTATCTAGGCTCCTCAGACACTTGTTTATAGGAATAAATATTGTATTATAACAATTGAATCCAGAAACTCTCCCATTATTTTGGTTAGATCTTCATGTCACTAGTACAGTGTAGTTTGCCTCTGACTATTAAAGATTTTGTTACGATTGTAAATGACTGTTGCATCATATATTTTTTTATCGTAATTTGTGCTTCTTGTTTAAGTTGCGAGACGACTCCAATGTAAACAAGGACGTGTACATCCTGAACCCTGCCTGTAAGGAATTCGCCAAGTATGAGTGGATAGGCCAGCTAATGGGAGCTTGTCTCCGCGGCAAGGAGAATCTGGTAGGAATTGTGTTGTTATATTCTCCTCATCATGCAAACACTTTTGTCATCTTGAATTTTGTCGTTAGAGCATTCAGGAATACATCTGGGAGGATATACAAAGGACATGCTTGGAAAAACAGATAAAGGAAATGTTTGAGGTGATAAGTGGTCAACGAAAACGAGAATTGTTATATCAAGTACACTATATTGTGAACAGTCTGCATTAAAAAAAAACTCTTTTGGAGAATCGAAAGCTATCTGTTTTTCTCAAAGCTAATTCTCTACCAGATATACACATGTACTTTTCTAAGTTAAAATTGTGGAATTTTTATACAGGAAAACTTTATACAGGAAAAGATTTTGTTCTGACACCATTTGTACAGTGCGATCTAGACATTGTTACAGAGGCCAGGCAATACAAAGCCCCTTGAATAAAGTTACGGGTAACCAAGGTGGTTCATACGGGGAATTAGTATTTCTATTATATTTAGGTTTCGTTTTAATCAATTATAAACTCAGTGTCTCATTTTGGTTACCAGTAATATACATTAGGTTGTGTTTGTTACAATGTGTTTTGTTATACAATTACCGGTACAATGTAGCAAGATGTTCTCCGATTTAGGTCAATAAAATAATTGTTTGCGTTTTACAGATCCTTGCTTTCCCGTCGTTTGTATGGAAACGGTTAGCTGGAGAAACAGTTTCTTGGTCCAGAAACTTCAACACAGTTGATGCTGCTGAGGTAAAACGAAATGTTCCCCATAATTATAGTTTGTATAGAGTGATACCATGTAAATATCACACCGATAAACAGTATAGTTTTTGTCCACGACTTATGAATGACGAATGTGGTGAGTTGATGTCTGTTGATTGGTAAAGAACATTGTATTTTGTGTATGTGTTGAGTTGATGTCTATTGATTGGTAAATAACATTGTATTTTGTGTGTTTGGTGAGTTGATGTCTATTGATTGGTAAAGAACATTGTATTTTGTGTATGTGGTGAGTTGATGTCTATTGATTGGTATATAACATTGTATTTTGTGTATGTGGTGAGTTTGGTGTCAGTGGCGGACCCAGGGGTGTTGCCCTAGTTGCCCGGGTAACTTCCTTTTTTCTGTGTCCAAAAATAATCTGGACCAAGGTTGTTGAAGTTTTCCTCTATTTTATATGGGATTTCCTTCTAATATCAACCATCCCTTGAATTATGATTTTCTATGGCTTCCCCTTGCCAGCAGTTTGAATATCTATATATGCCTAAGGGTGTTGCCCTAACAAGGAGTCCACTACTAAATATAATCTAAACAATAGAGGAGATCAATCGGTTAAGAACATTGTATTTTGAGTTGAGTTGATGTCTACTGAATGGTAAATATCTTTGTATTTTGTGTATGTGCTGGTGTATAGGTCACACTGATAGACAGTATGGAGACTATAGAGAAGGACCAGTTCTTAATCCTGGGTCGGACCTGGAGCACAGTGCTGAGTGACGGAACAGCCGTCATGATGAAGGTGGACAACCAAGGAAATCCGTTAGACTTGATGTATGAAGACCGCAAAGAATACTGTGATAAAGTGCGAAAGATACGCATGGCTGAATCTGACGAACAGGTAAAAGTTAAACAAAATTGGTTGAGAAGATAAATAAACAGCAGTGCTCTTGACACAAAAAGCACAAAAAATTGGTTGAGTATAGCAAGGTAGATAAAAACAGCAGTGCTCTGGACACTGATAGAAAGATGTGATTCCCCCCTCCCCCTTCCCCCCAAAAAATTAAAAGAAAATGTAGTTGCAGGGGATACATTGAGAGATAAGATTTGTATTGTTAATCTGTTGTGTAGCTGGAAGCTACAAGGAAAGGCCTACTGAAGGTTGTACCACAGGCTGTCCTCGACCTGATGACGTGGCAGGAACTGGAACACAGAATCAGCGGTGACCCAGACATCTCTATAGACGACCTCAAACGCTCAAGTAAGTCAGACTTTTAATACTCAGAATAGGGTCAGTGAATCCTTTTAGTTGCATCAAAATTTGTAGCATTGTACATTTGTATGTTTTTTTGCCTATCGATAGGCAAAACGTTCCTCTTTGAGTGACATAAAAAAGACACAATTTTGTTACATCGTTTTACAGGTAAAAATTACAAATCGCTCACTCAGTCATAGCTTGACAAAGGGACCAGTCGCTCTCGAAACGTTGCGATACGTTAAATACGTACACCGTTTGTGTAGAAAGTAAAAACTATGATATGACATGGATGGTATATTTAACAAAATCTGTAGTTTTGCCGTGTGATATTGGTAGATGTTTTAGTGGAATCCCCATAAAGAGACAAAGATTGTCAAAAAATTAAAAGTAATCGATGATCCCCAAATATTATACCTACACACTGTTTGTATCGAGCCAAGTGTGAGCTTAAATTTCTTCAGTTATATCCTGTATCAAAAGTATAAATGATTGGAATTGAGCCTAAATATTGGTGGCAGGTTAAAAATTGTGATATATTGGCCTGTCTTAACGAGGAAGGAGTCAATAGATGATCAGTTGATATGTTATCGGTAGTGTCGACTTAGGATCTTTGAAATTCAAGGTCAATTTACACAATTTATCATCAGATGAAGATGACAGATTGCACATAGTCATCAGAATGTCATTGGTTGTATTGAATTTTTATGTCTCCTCTATCAATATATAAAATGTTATACCAGTTTGGGAAAGGATTTTGTGTTTAATGATTGTAATGGTTGTCGAGTGACCCAGTGGATATAGCCCACTTGCCTTTCATCAAGGTGGCCGGGGTTCGGTTCCTCTATCGGACTTGGAAAGGTATGGGGTCACCTGCCCGACCATGTGGGAGTTTTCCGGGTACTCCGGTTTCCTCCCACATTAAGATTCTGCACGCTAACATCCGGGCCAACAAGAGTGATTAATATAAGTTGATATAATTTGTTTCATAATTGTTGTAGATAAATTCAGTTTATATTTTTCAACGATAGAAGTCAGAACGTACAATTGTTATTCCATAAACTACATGTTGTGTGTTACCGTCCATGGTAAAGGTGAAATTCTGCTGTAGTTATCAACTTGTCCTGCTTGTTTTCCAGTTCGTTATGACGATGTGGAAGAGACAGACACAAGAGTGAAGTTTATGTGGGAATCACTGAAGAACTTCTCTACCGAGGATCGTAGTCGCTTCCTCCGCTTCGTGACGGGTCGACGGCGTCTGCCTGCTCCAGTACATATATCTTCGGGGAAAGGGTGAGTAACAAATCACAGACACATTAAGCTGTTCCAATATACAAACATCAAGCACACTGATAAGTAAACAAACTATACTTATATTCTGAAATATACCTGTATTATTACAGGTAATTTTTGTGGAAGTGTTTTAACAAAAAAAATACTTTTATTCTAAAATACACCTGTGGTAATTTTTGCGACAGTGTTTCTTTTCGAGTGTTTTGTAGTCAACTGTGATTTCAACAACTATAGCAAAAGTTTCAAGTTCCAGGTATCATTTTGGGATCAAGGTTGGGACTGAAGACAAAGTGTGATACAAAGTACAAGATGCAGTTCTCTTTCCTAGTTTTACTGTTAAAATGCTGATATTTAAAATACCACAGTGATATTCCAATGTATTGACAAATACTATAAGATTATTGTAGAAATAAGAGCACAATTAAAAGTTTAAACATGTTGAAATATCACAGACCAATTCCTTTTCAGCGAATTTTACACTGAACATAATTTTCCTGACAAAAACACGAAATAATAACGTGACCCTGCATGAATTTAGAAATGTATACAGTATATATTTATATAAGGTAAAGAACTCGAATGACATGCAACACAGCTGAGTAATTTAATTCAAGGTGGCGCCACAATCAAATCTGAAATATATTTACATGAAGATAGCCTTAAGCTTGATGGAAACTAGACTCCATATTTTTGAGATGATGGGCCGCGGTGGCCAAGTGGTTAAGGCGTCTGACATTCTGCTACCACTAGCCCTCCATCACTGGGTCGCGGGTTGGAGACCTAGGCAACGTGGAGCAGTCGCTTAGTACTGGCCATAGGTCGGTGGTTTTTCTCCAGAAACTCAGACTTTCCTCCACTAACAAAACCTGGCACATCCTTAAATGACCATATATAGCTGTTAATAGGACATAAAATACAAGCAAACCAAAAATTTCGAGTTGACACCAAGTTTATTTTTCATGAATATATATCTCATTGACGAGAAACATCTACATGGACATATACATGAAGATATAAACCATGAATTAATGGGTATATTTGTACAGATATCAGTGGGTTAAAAATGTTACACATACACCCTTAGAAACTTACTTGCCACCAAATATAATAACACTTATGTATTAACAGACATTTCCTACTCCTTGTTTTCTATTATTTATGTATGTTATCCACAAGATTTTTCTTCATTACAGTCGAACATTATGAATGATTTACTAGTCGTTGAACATAGTGAATGATGAAGTTAATGTGTGAAAACTTTAAAATAATCATGCCTGCAGTTTCTGACCTGGAACACATTTTAAGAATATTTGTATATATTTTTTTCAGGGATTCTATAGACTGTTTACCCGAATCATCTACATGTGCAAACACTCTGTATTTACCTAACTACACAAGGTAAGTACATATATCAGGGAAGGTACATTAAAGGACTAGAAATTCAGTCAGGTGTGACAGGTTCAGCAACATTAAATTTTTGGTATTTTAATTCAGGTTTTTCATGAAGCTATCGCTACGGAGAAAGAAAAAAAAAAATATAAATTCGGGGAAATTGTTGTCATCAGGACCTTTATTTATGACCACGCAATTATTGTATTTTGTTTATTTTTCTCTTTTGTATGATATTCATTGTAAAATAATTGTCACAATATTTTTAGAATGCCTTTATTGTGTTGGCCTTCATAAAATGTATGATATTTTATGGTTTACTGATCCACAACTTCACAAGTGATACATGTAGCAATAGTAGTGTATAGAGTGTGTTTATGATATTAAGGGGTGGAGGAAAAAGTAACTCCCAGCAGGGGAATGAAGGAAAAATATTTAGATTCTTAAACTTATCAGTGAACATCTTTTGACTGATTGTATTCTGTCCATAATCTCTTAAAGATGTATTCATGCTGTTATATTCACTAGGACTGTAACAATATATTGTATCGTATCTGGGTGGGTGGGTGGGTTTGGGGGGGGGGGGTTGATGTAGCAGTCACTTTCAGTTATTCGATGTTTATATTATATATGACTTCATCAACTTGTCTGGCCCTTAAATCCTTATTATCAAAATATTTCGTTATTCTGAATTGTGTTATGACTCCCAAACAAGTTCCGGTGTTGGTTGTTTTGAACCCCACAATTAAGTTACAGTATTGCATTATGTTTGGTGTGTAAAGCTCAAGAAAGGAATAACAATGGGGTTAACCCGAGTTACTTACTTTGTTTTTATTGATACACTTTAAAATCTTTAATTTGATGAATTCCTAATTAGCTATACCAAAGCCATGAGATTTCTATGATGCAAGACAATTCTACTCATCTAGAGGTAGCGTAGCACTTTCCTGTGCCTCCATGTCACCAGTAAATACACCAGTTATGTAGCAATTTGCTACCTTTTTGTTTAATAAAATCATGTAATGACTAGTACATAATCAGCATGAGAGATGAAAGATTTGTTTGAATATAATGTTAGTTTCACTTCAGAATCAAATACAAAAAAGAAAAGAAGAAATTCAGGCACCTTATAGTCTTTTAAATTTTGTATTACTGGTATAGCAATACTATTTACTGAAAATTACAAAACTGTTTATTGTTTAAAGTGCCAAGATTGCGGAGGAGAAGCTGAGATACGCATCGTATAACTGTATGGATATGGATGCTGATGTGAATCCCTGGGACGAGTGATAAGTGGACAGTGTGGCCAGCAATCTGTGATGTCTCCATTCGTTTGTTCATCTGTGATTTACATCCCATAATAACCACTAAAAACTCAGCAGTTCACTGTCCTCTGTAGGGTTTCCGGGACGGGAGATTCGATGATGGTGTAAACTATTATGTTACAAGCTATAAAAAAACGAGCTATGCACATCTTTTTATTGTCGAGCAGCTTTGCTATAATTTATTTCTGATGATAAGTTGGCCTGGCTCACATATTGTATTATTGTAGTTTATAATAAGTAAGAGTATCATATGACATCGAAACATAATCTCTTCACTGGTTTCATACTGTATTCATACATATTGCTGACGATTCCAGAAATGAGTGGTCCTTTTTTGTGATCTTCACCATCTACAACTTTTTCTTGCCCATGATATTCATGTTAAAAGTTAGTTTAGAGCCTTTTATCCGTACCTATCGTTGTTATCAATTATTAGTGTCACCTACTACATTGTACATGTACCACCACATACCATTTATATCTGGAATGACCGATCATCATAATAAAGACAAACACATTTTGAAAGAATCTTCATCAATGATTTTATAGTTCTATAGAGTTTTCTGTCATCTTCAGTCAGGTTGTCAACACAGAGGCTGTGAAAGTTGTTTTGATGCTTAAGAATGATGGAAAGTGCATGCTTTTAAGATAATTGTTTAAATTTGAGGGAAAACCAGAATGTAGACAGGTGAAGGTTTTATAATGAATGAAGTTCATTCAGGAGTCAACTCAATCAGGAGTCAACTCATTCAGGAGTCAACTCAATCAGGAGTCAACTCAATCAGGAGTCAACTCATTCAGGAGTCAACTCAATCAGGAGTCAACTCAATCAGGAGTCAACTTAAACAAGAGTCAATTTAACTGGAGTCAATTTAATTGGGAGTCAATTAAATCGGTTCAAGAAGTCATTTTCAACAAAGATACATTTTCATGGCAGATCTGGACACGGGGACAAACAGCAGCATTACAACTGAAGTATCTGCTTCCAGTGGGTGTTATATGGTAGCTTCACTCAGTATTGACATTCATAGAATTTACAGAAAATTTAGAAAGGCAAATATTTATGTACATTGAATATGTGTTTTACATGACAGACAGAACACTAAAGTGTCAACAAACCATAATTCGGACTCAAAACCCAGGTGTTCCAGAAGGTTAAGCATCTCGGATAAAAAATCTTAATCATCTCAAATAAAAAATCTTAGCCTTCCACTGCTTGTCGGAAAAGACTAAGCACCACAACCTCAGAAAAACAGTTGTGCAGAACACTGGAAACAATTATTTGTCCACCTGAACACTTGTTAAGCTACCTTAGTTCTGTCTCCTTCCACAACCAAAAGTTGGACCCCACCCTTAATGAGAAACTATATCTGACCCTGAATACATACTACGGAAATAGTTTACACTAGCACAATTGTATAGAATCCTATTAGGTGTGGAGGGGCTGTCTTATTGCCCTTCATTAGCTTTGTATCACCCATCCATGAGTATAATATTGTGGCAGTTTTTCAATTTCAATTAATTGATTAACAGTATATTGATATTTATAATAAAGATATTTGCTAGTTTACTAAACGAAGGTTAGTGTGTATTGGACTCTACCAGTATACAGGAAACTTTCTCCCTGTGTATTAGACATTGCTGTATATGGGAAATGTCCTGGATTGTAATCAGTTGCTTTACGTTACGGTTAGTGACATTTGTACCTTGGTATCCGTAAGGAGAATGGCTGTGTACATTGACCATAAAGCAGGAAAACATTGAAAACATTGACCATAAAGCAGGAAAGTTTATTTAACGGAGCTTCACCTGGAATGTATCTCAGGAATTATATACTGTATGTGTAATCGATCATTATTCCTAACTATTGAAAAATTGTGAACACATCCTGTAAATTGTTTTGCACAAAACGTTCAAAATGTGTGTCGGCTGTACATACCAATCACGTTTTTTTCCCCAAAGTTATGAAAATTTGCGATGTCAATAACAAAGCCACACCATAACAACATAATGACACCATAACGTCCAAGGTGAAGGCCAACCACTCAGCCAATCAAGGTGTCAATAATGTGGCCGTCAACTGTTGATAAACATTTTTGATATAATCATAACCTCTCTTCCTTCACTCCAAAGTGAAGCGTCCGTCTTGTGTGAAAAATAATGGATGCTTAGAAATATTGGCTTTTCTATGATAACATGTTTATTAGCTTAGTGTTTCATCTATGTCAACAAAGAAATTGTATTTGCTGTCATCATGCAAAGCAAAACGGTAAGAGAAAAACTGGCAATTTATTTTCTCGTGTACAACATTCACACTGCGCAGCACTTCGATCTACCCTTCAAACATTGGTTTCTGGACAGAATCGCTCCCCGATATACCTAACCTTGGTTTCTGGACAGTATCATGCCCCAATATACTGTACTTTGGTTTCTAGACAGTATCATGCCCCGATATACTGTACCTTGGTTTCTGGACAGAATCGCTCCCCGATATACTGTACTTTGGTTTCTGGACAGTATCATTCCTCGATACACAGTACCTTGGTTTTTGGATAATATCGTTCCCCGATATACAGTACCTTGGTTTTTGGATAATATCGCTCCCCGATATACTGTACCTTGGTTTCTAGACAGTATCATTCCTCGATATACTGTACCTTGGTTTCTGGACAGAATCGCACCCCTAATATCGTTCCCCGATATACTGTACCTTGGTTTTTGGATAATATCGCTCCCCGATATACGGTACCTTGGTTTCTAGATAGTATCATTCCTCGATATACTGTACCTTGGTTTCTGGACAGAATCGCACCCCTAATATCGTTCCCCGATATACTGTACCTTGGTTTTTGGATAATATCGCTCCCCGATATACGGTACCTTGGTTTCTAGATAGTATCATTCCTCGATATACTGTACCTTGGTTTCTGGACAGTATGATCCCCCGGTATACTGTACCTTGGATTCTGGACAGTATCGTTCACCGATATACTGTACCTGAATGTCAACAATACTCCAGTCAGAATTGGTTAACTTCCATAAGATTGTTTTGCCATTTATATTTATCGCAATAACTACACTGTTCAATGTTGATACTAAGCTTTTCGATACCGAAATGGTTTTATAGCGAATAGTATGGTTTGCTTTTTATGTCATACATTTAAGATAATAGCATTGAACTGGTTTAAGTGGACATCTCAATATACCAGTAACGATTGGTAGGATATCAAAGGCTTAAGATACACTAGGCAGACACGTTTAAATAAAGATCATGAGTAGAATTGAAGAGATTATGGTGTATAATTTGTAACAACATTGCTCATTTTGTATATCAATATAATTTGAGTATATCTTTCGATGGTAATGGACAGACAATTTCAGTTGCCTCCGTTTGTCGATCTTCCATAACATCATTTACCCAACTCCTATGGAAGTTTCATAGCAATAAGTTTAAGTTGCGAATGTGTAAACAATGTTCAGTAATTAACCTCATCGTAATCAATACAGTTTTAATTTTGAGGTTGAAATCTCGCTAAAGATTTTGTTTGCTTTATAAAAGCTCACATCAAATGAAATAAACAATTTATAACGTTTTTATGCGCAGATTTAATGTAATTTGTTTCCTTTATACAATTTCCTGTGTTGTGTTGCCTCGATAAGGTGTTTGTACCTAAAATATTTTACCGTAACATGATCTAATTTACTTTACGCCATCCTGGGGTGATATTTATAGGTGGCCTAGATACTGTTATTACTTGTCTGAAGAGCTTCTGGAATGACACGATGAAGTAAATGTTTTATACTTGTACATACTGTTCTACGAAGTCAAAGGGCAGCTTCGTCAATCTTGTAAAGGTATGTTTGACCAAACCCATTGCTAAGAAAGTGGGACAACATTTTAAAAATACGGCATATTAAATTATTCTCATCTCGTAAGTAGTCATGCAAGTTCATTTCAATAGTCACACCTTGACGTGTTTGATACCAACGTAGTTTCAAACTGTGCACACACACACAATCGTTATCGTGATGTGAATGACTGAAGTTTAACAAAATACTGTTATTGTAACTTCATTTCCCTGCGCACTGTTAAGTTTATAAGTATTTAAGATATATATGTAAGATTTAGTATGACTTTCCATTTAGTATGAGATAATGTAGCAAATCTTTGAATTGTTCATTTTCGCGAGCCTGTGGAAATGGAAACGAGACAAAAATTATTTGTTTGCCACCAAATATTTTTTATTGCACCGTCTTGCCCCTATCTTTGGTGTTTGACATCACAATGTTATCCGGACTTTTAGGCGTCATTTCAATGTGTCGCGTTAAACCATATTACACGTTTATATGCAATATGTATAACATGGGTGTATTTACTGCGTTATATTATAACGTACTCTAGGCTTTCCTTTGGAATCTATGTGGAAATGTATTTATCTGTTTTAAGTTATGAACTCAACACTTGTATAATTTATTTCCTACACTATTGTTTCCAATTTTTTGGTAAATGATTTTGGTGGAAAAAAATGTTCATCAGTACCAAAATCAAATAACAGGCTGCTTCCTCCCCGCAATATTTAATCAAAAGACTTATTTAACATGACGGCTTTTTCTACTGAGAATGTATTATTATAGAAAATGCAGCCCTTATTTTGTTTGTAGTTTGTTACATATTTTGAACTAAGCCGTTGCTATGTTAGACAAAGTGAGTTTTTACTATGTCCTCTCGACACTCGTATTAAATCAAAACGGATGTGTAAAATAACCATGTTAGGCACGATACTAATGCTTCCGTCGTTGAAACAGGCCCGGCAGAAGAACAATAACAATATCATTTGTGATCACTTGATAAATGAGTATACTGGCGTGATTTTTATTGAATAAATTCAATAAAAAAACATGTATCTGTTATATGAAATTTTGTTTTTTGTGTATTTTACTATGTCTCAATGCTTTAATTCATTTACTATATATGGATACAAACGCAAGGATATTTTTTTAAAAAAAGCAATAATCTTACTGCAGTTTCCGAAATCTCTTCGAGAGCTTTACATGTACGGTTGTTTGTCTTCTCTTTAAACAGTCTGAACTCTTTTCTCGTGATCAATAACATTTGAGAGTCGATACAAGCTTCGTCACTGTATTACTTTATTGGCTGGGTCATTTTGATAACATTTTAATTTAGAAGTTCAGAAACTGCTGGGAGAGTAATTAGTCTGCAAGGGTGTTTTAGTTTTTGGACTTTGAAAGAGGACTAATTCCGTGGGTAGTAAAATGACGGCGGTGAGAGTCGATTTAACGAGTTACTATTATATGGAGTAAATGAAGTAGAGGTGTATCAGTGTATAATAATTAATTGGAGGTTGACACTCATTGATGTAACCCATGATTAAAATGGACATCATGTATCTTTAAAATATACATTTCAGTTCAGTCCTTATGTTCAAAACGACAAAGAAAACTACATTGAATCTTGTACATGTGATTTCTTTTACTTATTGACGCAT